AAGTGCTCTGGATTACCAGTTTAGCCAAACCCCGGCAGATTGGGTCCCTTCAGCATCGAGTGAGGGATTGACTGGAAGGAGCCGGGCTTTCCAGATTACAGAGGCCCTTTTGATGGTGTCAGAAATTCCAACAGGAGAAGGCTTGAGAAGAAAGTAAGAAAAGCTAAACATCTGTTCTCTGTAAAAAGAAAGATCAAGCCAAAAAAACCCAAACCCACCCCAACTTGTCCCTTCCTGGCTCCTCCAGGTAGCTCTCTTGTCCTGGCACCTGTGAGGCGGAGTAGGCAAACCAGTTGAAAGGAGGCTAAGCAAGCAGTTTATAACCTTGGACATTAGTATTAAAAAAAAAAAAATACTGATGCCTGAGCCCTACTTGCAGAGATTATAGTGCAATTGGTGTTAAGCAGGGCCAGACCTTCATTTGTTTTTGTAAAGACTCCCAGGATATTCTCACGTGCAGCCAATGCTGACAACCACGGGACCCAGGGGCATCCTGAAAATGCAACCGAGACTGTGGGGACAACTGGTATCTGAGATTAAGTGCTGCTGGACTTCCACCTTCAAGAGAGCAAAATCAGCATTTACTCCCGATGCAGCACGCCAGATTTCTAGGCTTTAAAAAAACAATCTGTAAAGATCTATAATCCTATAGTCGTTCCAGGAGAAAATGGGACGTTCCTCTGTGTGTCACCTCTTCCTTTCTGCTCCATTCCCTCCCCAGTAAGGGCTGTGCCCATCACTGGGCTGGCATCAGGTGGAGACTGCCCAGGTACAAGAGGCCACACGGGATCCATCCTAACTCTCTGTCCTAAATCTGTCCTGAACCCCCTATCGGGCCCCGAGCAAGCTCAGGAGATAAGCCAAGGCCGCATTTGGGGCATTTGCAGAGGTGAGGGGAGGACACAGCACGGAGGCTGAGAGTCTCCTCCCTCCCCTTGCCGTCTTTTGATGGGGTAGTCTGTCTGGGAAAGTTTGCATGGAGGCCAAGTCAACGGCTAAACTAGGACCATGGTTCCTGCCCCTTTCCTTGGGCAGTAAATAACTCTTGGCTTTGAAAAACAAGCCCTGGTGACACGTTGGTGCTGGCAGCGGGAGGAGCAGAGCCTGGATGTCTGAGTGCAGAACTCAGTACTCTAAGCTTTGTCTGACCCTTTCAGGTCAGGTTTCCTCATTACAAAGAACAGCGGTGACTGTGGCCCTGAGAGTGACCAAGGCCCTGAGGGTGACCAAGGAAAGGACCACATGTCTTTCAGCGAACTCCATGCTGCTGGGAACACTGCTGCTCATGACTCACCCTTGTGTCCCTCCGTGGTCAGCACCTTACCCAAAGAAGGTTCTTCCCGGCGCTGGATACAAGTGCCTGCCCCCTTCCTCAATCTGCGACTCACTGGCTCTGGAGCTTCTCAGAGTGTTGAGGGAGGCCTCAGTCGCACCTGCGTTATGGGTCAGCTTCTCCCACCCCTCAACCCGGCTGTCCTCACTTCCTCATGGGTGTATCTCCTGATTGCGTGCTCAATAAACATTCTGCGTGCAACTCCCCATCACAGGGCACACAAGCTAAGTGACTGTCTCATCATAACCACTGGTTCACTCCAAGGTCAGCTTTAAGACCGTGGTATTAACATCACTCTGGAAAAACTACTTGCTTTGCAGTTAGAAGGAAAACGTTTTTGTCAGGTGTAAATCTCTGATGTTCATTTCTCCTTCTGGCAGCTCTGGCCTTCCCAAGGAGGCAGGGAAGGAACAATGGGATCACCAGTGACAAAGCCACAGTGGCTCTAGACAATCCCCCCTGAAGTAACTTGTGAGACAGACTGAGAAGGAATTCCCAATTCCACAACCGTGCGGCGTGCTGGGGAGAGCTGCTGGAAGAACACGGTGTGCAGTCGATGGGTATTGAAGCAGAGCTGGAAAAGGGACAACAAGAGCAGGCAGAAAACTTTCTTCAGAAATGAGAGATTTTTGTTTAATTTCCTGGATTAGCTACTTTTAATGGTTAAAAAAAAAATCCACATCTGTTAACTTGCTGCAAGAGCCTTTGTAATTTGAGCTAATGGCCTTCCAGGGGAGGGGAGGACAGCATCGATTTGTGCAGAGTTAAATCTCTCGATGGGAACATGCGCCGGGGAGGCCCCACCTGTGTGCACAATGTACTTAAAGGATTAGAGCCAGCTTTGAAATTATGATATGTTTTACCTAGAGTAAGCACCTTACTCTTTAAGCTTCTATTTCCTTGAAGGAGGGGGAAGAAAACCATCAATTCTCTCAGGTAATCAGGTGCATGAGACACTCTGCTGGTGGGATTTAATGAAGGTTTAAGTGCAGGGAGATGAAGGATGTGTTCTTTATATATTTTATTTTAAATCTATTTTCAATACTTGTGATTACAACTCAAAGGTGTTGCTTGCAAGAGGTATCTCTGCCCTGAATGGTGACATCTTTAGGGAGATGCAGGTGCCAGAGGGCCAGGGGAGCAGTTGTAGCGTGAGGGGTTGGTGGGAGATGCATGGGGGATTTTAAAAGAACTGTTGTTGTGGTCCTTGTGTTCCCTTCAGGGTCTTTATGAAATGTAAGTAAATACCTGATGTTCTCTATTTAAACAAAAGGTGTCCCTGGTCTGGAGCAGCTGATTATTAAACTGAAGACAGAAATTTCTTTCCCTCCCCATGACTTACCACGGATGGAGGCCAGTGCATTTAGAAAAGAATGCCCATCATCTGCTGCCGGCTAAGCTACTGCTTTCGATTATTTGGTCTCCACAGACTCGTCAAGTGGGCTGAGGGTGGGGGAACATGGTAGCCAGAAATACGTAAGCTCAATGGCATGTAGTCTTTAGGAAACAGAAAATCACACACAGATATGTCTAATAAAGACACAGTACTTTATTTTAAAAACACTCCTATGTTGCAAAAAATACATAGAAAAATAAAGTTCGGTTGGGGTACTTTACTGAACTTCAAGTCACAGGCTTTTATGTTCCAGATCAGGGCAGAGTTTGTTATGCACGTGGAGAACCCAAACTAATGCATTAAACAGGACAGAAACAGGCCATCTGGGGGAAGTGGCCCAGGACACCCTCCAGTTCACCTATCAGACACTGATACACTAGTTCTTCAAATGCTGTTCTCGCAGTTCAGATATGGGTGAGTGACTAGTTCCAATGGACGAAAACCAAGATGGATTCACAAACCAAATCATTTTAAACAAAAACTTTTTTTTCCCAACACAATATACCTCACAGTAAAATGTTTAATACTTGCAGATTTGCAGGTTGAAAGAATTAAACTCAGAGGGTGGGAAAGGAGGATACTGAGCAGAGAGTGAGTGCTGAACGCTTACCTTAAAAGACAGGTGAGAAGGAGAAAGCATTCAGGCCGCTCTGCTTTCTGTGCTCGCGAGTACTGTGTCGGCAGCTCGGGCATTTAACAGTATTTCAACGTGGAGCCCAAACCATAGAAAATGGGGTGAAACGGGCCAACTTTCTATCAACTCCGGCAGTTTTGCCACCAACAGTGACTTGGCCCTTTTACTAGGAGGAAATTGAAAGGTTTCTCACTAAACAGAACTAAGAGCGAGATCAAGAGATTTCCAGGCCTCAGGGCACCTCATTAGTAACTCACTTTTTTATTCTGTCCTCTCCCCTCTACCAGGTCACCTGAGACAACAGGATGAGAGCAGAGGGGTGGCCACATCTCTCCTTCACCTTCTTCTCATGCCCTCTGAAGTCACTAGTGACTCATTTTGGGGACCCATTTTTTATAGGCATTAAACACAGTTCCCAAAGTATTTGGACAGTTGTGTTGTTTGGTGATGAAAGCCACAGTAAGGTTGCCTCGAAAACTGTTTGCTTTTTTTAGCCTCTTCCTGCAAAGCGCTATCAGCCTGTCAGCTTGCTCAGGGGACTGGGCTCTGTAAGGCTGAGGCCACCTTCTCTCCAGGCCCCGCACACGAGCCCTCGATTGCCAGCAGATAGCTCCCTGGCACCCGACACTTCACTGTGCACCGTGTCCCTCCTTGTGCGTAAGAGCCCAGTCCTCTCACCCCCTCTGCCTGCAGGGATCCCAAAGGCTTGTCAGGCTTTGAACTGTATCAACAGAGCCACCAGAAAGTCCTAGAAAAGCAGCAGTGACCTTCTAGAGCTGTCAGGTCTTTAAATAGGATTTGGGATTTAATGCGGTATATTTTTAAAGGAAAAAAATAAGAATGGCTAGTGTAAAAAAATGCATGTCTTTTAGCCAATTCAGAATCTGCCTCCTTTTTTTTTTTTTTAACCCAGGAGAGATAAAGCTTCGGGGGAAAAAAAAAAATAGACCAGATCTCAGCCTAAATAAGGAATGCAAATGTTAGGTGCGGCCAGACTAAAAGTTTGGACTGAAAAGAAGCCCTTCAGTGGGTGACAGCTGTGGAAAAGGAACAAAAACTGAAAGAAGGTGGGAAGGAAGGAGCTTACAGGAAAGAAGTCTGTGCTCTGTCGTGATGTGGTATGAATTATAGCCTGAAAACCCCAGGAAGCTTCTCAGTCTAAATTCTCAGGCCCAGCATAAAAAGGTCCAGAAAAGGCTTTTTCACCTTTTGCTAATAAACAACGCAGCGCCCCCGCGGCCGTGCCGAGACTCCTCCTGCGGCCCGGCTCGGACCTGCCTGGCCCACCCGTCGCGGCAGAGTTCTGTTTGTACAGCTTGTCTTAAAAACCACAGAGTGCTTCTTGCTCTACCTGGGCCACTCTGTAAATACTTCACGTGGCGTGTTACTTAAAAAGGAATAATAGAAGCTTATATTTTCATCTCCTCCTACCCATCTCCACAGCCCACGCCAATCTGCGCTGAGCAGGGCAGGTTTATCTGTGAGATCCCCGATTTCTCTCTCTCTAACGGGGGCGGAGAGAAACCTTGGTCATACTTCAAGGCCAACGAAAGGCTTCCAAACTGCAGTTTAATTCAGTAGGTGACATCCTCATCTTAGCTGTCCCTCTCCCCCCTTCAGGTCTGCTCCTTCATCGCTGATGCTCACTTACACAAGAGGATGGAGCTGTAGGAACGGAATCCTCAGCAGTGATGTGGACAGCTCATATGAAGTCATACAAAGTGCTAGACACAGCACCTGGCTTTATCCCTCCCCACTTACAGCAGGTCTCGAAGAGCAAAACTGACTTACGTTATGTGTGGGGGGACTATCTGGATATTAAATTATTCACCGTCCCAGATCTTTCATCAGCCCACCAGTGAAGAATCTGGGATTTCCATGCAAACCTCCAACAGTTGTGGTCTGCACGCCTCTTGCTCCCCAGTCCTCCCAGCCCCTTTTGCCTTCCAGAGAGACAACATGGGGAAGGCAGTTTTTGATCACGCATGGTTGTCATCTGAGCTGGCGTTACCAGAAGGCCGGGCTCCAGCCTCCCAAGCAGTAAAGGTAGGGGTAGTAAGGATAGCTGTGATACATGGAGATGAGGGAGGCCCGGGAGAAGGCCTCCTCTTTCAAAGATGGCAAGGAGGGGGCCTTCTCCAGGTCGCCCAGGTCCGAGGTGAGCTGCTTTCGCTTGGTCTTATAGCGTCTGTTCTGGAACCATATTTTCACTTGGGTCTCGGTAAGCTTGAGGTTCTTGGCCAGGTGGGCCCTTTCCGGGGCTGACAGGTACTTCTGGTGGCTAAACTTCCTCTCTAGCTCAATGACCTGACTGTGGGAGAAGGCGGCACGGGAGCGCTTCTGCGGCTGCTTGGGGGTTTGAGGAAGGCGTGGTAAGGCGTCTGAAGTGTTTTCACAGTCCAACAGATAAGTCTCAAAGTGCCTATCTGGAAAGGAGAGGGGAGAGGCAGGGATGGGAAGGAAAAAGTTACATGTTAGCAGGGAAGAGAACAGAATTCAATCCCCCCTTATCTGTTCAGTGAGTGAACAAACAACCCACTGTCATCTTGGATACACTTCACTTTTTTCACATGACTAAGGAACTCTCTGGAGTGGGGAGTGAGTGAACATGCATATTATGTATCAGTTTTCTAATAGTCATCAAGAACCCAAAGTAAGCGGGGTTAGTGGTCGATCTTCCTGCCCTATCGTTCAGTAGAATTAAATAGGGATTCTGAATATGTACATTGAGAAGAGGGGGGAGAGCAGGGAAGACACGGAGAAATAAGATACCTGGTACAGCGGGACGCTAAGGCAGCCGGTGTTAACATCCGGGTGGCAAGAGAGGGCGTGTGTGATGGGAGAGGCGGCCAGGGCTAACTGCAAATTCATTCTCTGGGTTTAATCCCCCCTTTTTTTCCCTAATCAAGGCGTTAGAATGCCTCATAAGAAGTGATAGCAAAGGAAATAAGTCTACTCTAAATGTTCCAACGGTACTATATTTCCTGAAGACCACAGGGGACTCCCAAATTGACTGTTTTCCTGCCCATGGGATTGGGAAGTAAAGGGAGTCTTTGCTGGTCAAACTCTAATTTATTAATATTCGTAAGTTATTGTTGGTTATTTGTTGTATGTTAGTTACTGTAACTGCAAGAGGTGACGTGGGCCTGGCGCCGCCAAGGGTCGCGCGGGAGCTCGGAGCGGGCGTGGGGTGTCCCCCGGGACGCGGGAGGACCGTGGGCGCTGCGCGCGCGCTCGCTCGTGAGCCCCGGCGCCGAGGGCCCGCGGAGCAGAGAGCACCGAGCCGGGCGAGCCGAGCCGCGCTCTAAACCCTGCGCCGCCCCGACGCCGGGGCTCAGGGTTAATCTCCGGGACGCGCCCGCGGCGGGAGGCGGCGAGGTCCCTTCGCCTGTCGCCGCGGGGCCTCGCATCCCTGCAGCCGGAGCTTCGGAAGGTCCGCGTGGGACCGGCCCTCATGCCCGTGCGTGCAGCCCGCAGGCCGGGCCGCCTGCAGAACCCCACCCCGGCCCAGCCCGGCCTCCCCCGCCTCGCCGGCTTACCTGGCTCGGTGTCCGCCGGCGTCTCGGCCTCCCCTGGCGCAGTGTGGGGCCGGGCGCTCGGCTCGTCCTCGGGCGCCCCGGAGCCTCCCCTTCCTCCCCCGAACTCCGGCTCAGGGTCTCGCTTCGGGTCCGGCCGGCGCGGGGGCTGTGGATGGCGCGGGGGCTGGGAGCTGCCCGCGTGGCTGCCGCGCCGCTCCGGGCCGTCCCGCAGAATGTCCTGGATGAGGAAGGAGGTGAGCGGCTTGGACTGGGAGGGAAGTGCGGCCTGGGCGCTGCAGCTGGCCGCCCCCGCCTCCTCGGGCCGCGGCTCCGCAGCCCTCAGCATCTCGGCGGCTCGGCCCCGGCGCTCGCGCCCAAGCCCGGGCTGCGCCCGCGGCGACCGCACCACTTTCACTTTCCGCCGCCCCGCGCGCGCTTATAGCCCTGGGGAGCGCGCCGCGCCGCCTTCCCATTGGCCGCGGGACCCCGAGCGCGCCGCGGATTGGCCGCCCCGCGCTCCAGGTGAGGGGCGGAAGAGGGGAGTCCTGGGGAGCCTGACCACGGACTCTGTCCGCTCTTCCCTAGAGGAATCCTTCCTCAATTCCTTCTCCTCGCCCCTGGCTCGCCTCCCTCCGGCTTACGTCTTTTTCCCAGGCTGGGAGCGAAAACCAAAGCGGGTGTCCTTTGCTCCAACCCGCAGTAGAAGTTTAGACGCTTCTGGGGAATAATGATGCAGAAGAGAAATACTCCATTTAGCTCTTGTGGGTTGCTAAAGCGCCTTTACTCACAAAGAGGTAGGTGAGGCAATTACTACCGTCCCAGTTTACAGATGAGAATTCCGGGGGCTCCGTGACGAGGAGACGTCGGTAGCAAAGCTGGACCTACTGAGGCTCTCAAAGAGACGTGACAGCGAAGTGCAGGACCTGACCTCAGGCTGGATTCTGTACTGTACGTTGTTGGGGCCACTGATAAAAATGGAATAGGAACGAGGATTAAGGCGTGGAATCAGTGTTAGATGTACTGGAGTCGATAACAGTACTGTGATTGTATGAGAGAATTTTCTTAGGAAATACACGCTAAAGTATGTAGGGTCGAAGGCCCACGGTGTAAGTAACACCCTCAAATGGTTCAGAAACAATGACATAGATTGACAGATAGATCCCATGTGGTCAAGAGAAGGGGCTGAAATGTTAACAATTGGTGAATCTGGTATGCAGGTGTTCTTTTGAACTTTTCTGGACGTCCTGGTCTAAGGCACCGTCCATTCGACTGAAAACTTTTCAAAAGGATATTATGTTGTGTACTGGGGAGGAGGGAGAGGAAATAGGTTATTGTAGATAAAGCAACTGCCAAAGAGAACCACCCTGTGCCATGGGAAGGTCTTTGGCAAAGATAGTTTTCTTCTCTCATTTTTTCATTTCAAAAAAAATTTAAACATTTTTTGAAATAGTTATAAGTTCACAAGAATTTGCAAAATTAGTACCCCCAGTTTCCCACAGTGATGACATATAACTGCAATACGATATAAAAACCAGGAAATTGACGTTGGTACATTACTGTTAACTAGACCACAAAGCTTATTTTATTTTCATCATTTTTAAGCCTGCATTCATTTGTGTGTGTGTGTGTGTGTATAGCTCTGTGCAATTTTATCACATGTATAAATTCTTGTAATGCCACAATCAAGATACAGAATTGTTCCATCACCATAAAAGAACTCCCTGTGCTCTCTCTTTGTATTTGTGTACCCAAGCCCCTTGTCTCCATCCCTGACCCCTGGCAGCCACTCATCTCTTCTCCATCTCTATAGTTTTACCATTCAGAGAACGTTATAAATGGAATCAAACATCATGTGGTGTGTAACCTTTTGGAATTGGCTCTTGTCACTAAGGGTAATGCCCCTGAGGTCCACTCAGATTGTTGCATGTATTAATAGTTAATACTCTTTTTAGATTGCTGATTAGTATTCCATTGTATGACTCTACCGGAGTTTCTTCAACCATCCACCCACAACAATTGATCTGTTTCCAGTTTTTTCCTATTATGAATGACAGAGCTATTTGTGTACAGGTTTTTGAGGGAACACAAGTTTTCATTTCTCTGTGATAAATGTCCAGGGGTGCAGTTGCTGAGTTGTGCAGTAATTGCACGTTTAGTTTTGTAAGAAACTGCCATGCTATGTTCCAGCGTGGTTGTACCGTTTTAGATTTCCACCAGCAATGCATGGGACTTCCGGTTTCTCTACATCCTCACCCACACTTCGTGTTGTCATTATTTTTTATTTTTGCTATTCTAATAGACATGTAGTGATATTTCACTGTGGTTTTAATTCGTATTTCCCACTTGACTAATGATATTGAACATCTTTTCATGTGCTTTTTTACTATACATATCTCTTCTTTGGTAAAATATCTGTTCAATTCTGGCATGTTATAATGGGATTTTTTTGTTTTTTGCTGTTGAGTTTAGATAGTTCTTCATGTATTCTATATATGTCTTTGTTGAATATGTGATTTGCATATATTTTCTCCTAGTCGGTAGCTTGTCTTTTCATATTGTAACAGGATATTTCACAGTGCAAAAGTTTTTAGTTTTGGTGGAGTCCAATTTATTAATTTTTTATTTTATAGATTTTGCTCTCAGTGTCATGCCTGAGAACTCTGTTTTTCCCTTGGTACTGAAGATGCTCTCTTGTGTTATCCTCTAAAGGTTTTACATTTTACTTTGAAATCCATGATGCATTCTGAATTAATTTTTGTGTATGGTGTGAGGTTTAGCTTGAGGTGGCCTCTTTTCATTTTTAAAATTTAGAGCTGGGTGGCATTTCAAATCAGTGGGGAAAATGTGAATTATATAATGCTGCCATTTGGAAAAAATAAAGTTCTATTCTTATAACAAAATAAATCCCAGATGGCTCAAAGATTTAAAACATAAACAGGCACGTGAAAAAACAAAAAAGTTTAACTGCACTCATCATTAGAGAAATGCGAATCAGAACCACATTGAGATGCCCTGTTTCCACCTATCAGATTGGCAGAGGTTAAAAAGATGGATAATGTCCAGCGTTGGTGGGGTGTGGAGGAACAGTTGTTCCCCTACCGAGTTGAAGGGAGAGTAAATCAGCTTCCTATATTGGGATGGCAACTTGGCAAAAATCTGTCAAAATTAAAACTGGGCATATCCATTGACACAGACGTTCCACACTTAGAGATTTACCCTAGAAATATACAAATACACAACATACTGACTTGGGAAAATATCCTTAATTTGGTCAGAGAGTGATTCAAGTTGCAAAAAAAAGTTATAGAATGAACCCATTGTGTAAAAAAAATAATTACAATTTATCTATATAATATTTTACATTTGAGCATTTTAACATATAGAAAAATCTGGCAGGATATAAATATCTCAATAGAGCAGTTACCTCTGATCAGTGAGATGGAGATAGCAGATTGGTAGAAGGAAAGAGAAGAGCAGAGCAGGGGACGTTTCCTTATACTAATTTATAGTTTTTAAAAATTTAGAGCTGGAGCTGAGCTTGGGCTCCCGTCTTCCACCACCACCTCCTCAGACCTCAGATGTCCCTTCAGAATGGGGACACAGCCCAAAGCAGTTTCCCTCACCTCACTTTACATGTCCTTCCTTTAGTGCTTTGTATTTTGGATGTTTATGGGGATGAGTCCTCTCTTTTATTAGCCTATGAGCTCCTTGAGCAGGGACTGTGTCATCCTCATGTTTATACCACCCCTAACACCTGGTTAGTTCTTGGCAGACAGAAGGTGCTCAATAAATGTTTGCTGGCTGGATGTCCAGCTTTAGGTACTATGAGGCATCTCATTGGCTGGCAGCATTATCCATAAGGGACCCAAGGCAAATCACAGTTTAAGCTCCGTCCTCCTCTTGCCATGTCTATGCAGCTGAAACTAGGTGAAAATGAGCAAGGGCAATCAGGAAGACACCAAGGGGGTGCCGTAGGCCTCTTTAGATGGAGTAGAATTCCACAGAAGACTAATGACCCCCCCAAGGATGTCCCCCTCCTAATCCCTGGAACTTGTGAATACGCTATGCAAATGGCAAGGGGGAGTTAAGGTTGTAGATGGAATTCAAGTTGCTAATCTGCTGACCTTGAGATGGGAAGGTTATTCTGGATTATCCAGGTGGGCCTGATGTAACCACAGGGTCCTTATAAGCAAGAGAAAGAGACAAGAAAGTCCGAGTAGAGAAGGAGATATGACACTGAAGCAAGGTTAGAGTCATGGGAGGTGAGAGAGCCGCAGCTGGCCCTGCAGGCTTTGAAAATGGAAGTGGGGGCCTGAGCCCAGGAACATGGGGGCCTCTGGAAGCTGAAAAAGGCAAGAAATGAATTTTCCCCTAGATCCTCTAGAAGGAACACAGGTCTGTCAACACCTTGATTTTAGCTCAGTGAAACCTATTTGGACTTCTGACCTCTAGAAACGAATACGGGGGCATTTATAAAGGGATGCAGAAAGGATGAGAGGAGGATACCAGCTCTGCCGTGATGTGGACTTCGGGTCCTTTTTTTAATTTGAAATATACGTTTAGACCCATAATCCCATCTCTTCGTTAAAACGTTCTTCTTTTTATATTTTCTTTCAGTCTTCTGCCATATTTGATTATAGGATAGGTGTAATTTTGTACCTGTTTTTTCCTTCTGACTTCATATTACATCATAAACATTTACATATTGCTCTGTTATGTATTTTAGAAGCCATCTAGATCCAAAGACATTTCAAGCTAGAAGGGACCTTGGGATCATCTAATAAAATTTCTTTGTTTTCTAGGAAAGAGTCTGAGATTTATAGAGACTATAGAACTATAACTGAAAGTCAAGTCTCACAAACCCCTAGCCCAAATACCTCCATTGGATCACCTTCCATCTTTCTACTCACCCTGATCTGCCTCCAGTGTGGAAAGTGGGAGCAGAGTTTATAGAATTGTCCTGTATAAATGTGTTTTTAAATGTGCCTGGGATTTGTTTTGAGCAAGTGTGGTAAGAGATACAGACAGAGAAATGACTGTCGTGCAGGAAGAAGTTTATACTCATAGATCCCTAGAAACAGGAGGCACGACACACTATGCAAGGCCACATGGGGAAGCACCAGGATCAGGAGGTAGAGAGGGCAAGGGGAAAGCATGGACAAAGCCTTTATTGTGGTTTTTGTGGGAAAGAATGGGCACATTCTTAGGCTTAGGATTGGTGAGGTGATTTGGGGCAGGAGGAACATTGGGTTGGTGTGTGTGAGTTAGATAAAGGAGATGGTTAGGGGTATGGACTTGGTTGGTTGGTTTGCATGTCAAAGCTGTGTTCATAGGCAAGTTGTTGCTATCTCTAGGAATTAGCTAAATCTGGGAGGGACAGTCTCTCCCCG